CGAATGGGAAACTCTTCCTCACCCAGCGTACTCACCAGACATAGCGCCTTCTGATTACCACTTGTTCAGATCGATGCAGCACGGCTTGAGTGGTACACGCTTCCGAAATGTTGAAGAAGTGCGAGAATGGGTGGACGAATGGATTGCTTCGAAACAAACATCGTTTTATCGAGATGGTATCGCCCAGTTGCCAGAAAGATGGCAAAAAGTTGTAGAAAGTGATGGAAAATACTTTCATTGAAATAATTTGAATAAATTTTTTACAATAAATGCTTTTTCTCAGTATTTTTTGGGCGGAAATTAAGTTAAGGTCCTAATATATTCATTCATTTATAGTATTTCTAAAGAACAAGAATATTCAATTTTAAATCAAAATGATGAAGCAGAATCGGTTATATTTCCTACAGATGAAATGTTAGAATCTATAAAGACAGAAGACTCAACTGTGTAAATATTTCTATTAAATAAAGTATCTAATTTATTTTAATATAATAGATATTTTTTTAGGCATGAGTAGCATAGCAAACAGCGCACTGGTTTTCTATATAATAAGTGGCGAGTTTATTTCACTCCAAAATCTTAATACTTTTTACTTAATTGTATTTTTTTTATTATACAAACAAAATATATAACAAGAGTTTTAAACATTAATTAAATTTAAAAGCAATTTATTCAATTATATTTATATATGTATTTCCTCGTGTCATATCAGAGAGAAATTCACTAAAGTCCTACGTAACGTACTGTAGATTTCATTCTCCTGCATGATAGTAATACAAAGGAATGAAATAATAAATTTTTTAAAATAATTTATTAAAAATATTTAAAATTGTTATAGGTTAATGTGTAAATATATTTATAAATAATTTAATATATTTATTTAAAATATATTTATAAGGTATTTTTATGTAATACATTTTATATTTCGAAAAGGAGTGAAATATGTAATTAAACTTATGTTAAAATATTTCAGTAAGTTTATAGGCTTTATTCATGAAATTAAAGGCCCAAAGATTGTCGGTAAAGTTCAACATTATTGTTTATTAAAGTATTTTAAATAATAAAAGTCGACATAGAGTGCAAATTGTTGCATGGAATAGTGAAGTCGAACGTACTGAACACCATTTTCAACCTTTTCTTTTTTTTTGGCAAGGCAGGGGAAATGCATTACGCACACCCCCCGGGGGTTGACAACCCCCCGGGAGGTAGTGTGGGACTCTCCCTCCCCCGCGCGGTCGAAGCCACAGACGGGGAAGGCCTTTCCACTGAAACCCCTGCCGGGTCCATTTCTCGGCGGCCATAACGAGAGCGTCCCGGGCAGCGTTTCGCATCCTTCCGGAGCGCCCTCGGCCGCCAGAGGCTTACGCCTTCCGTTGCCGGGTCGGAGGGTGGGAGCCGCTGAATTTAGCGACACCCGCCTCCGCCGCCCTGAAAAGAGGGGCAGCGGAGGTATGCTTTCCGGCCGATTACCGTTATGTAGCCGCGCAGCGCGGGACCCTACGCTGCGCGGCCCGTTCCTCCTTGAAGGGGGCGGGACCGGTTTGTCACCCGGTCTCCCACCCCAAGTTCCGGGGTCCCGATAGGCTTACTGGGGGGGGGGTCAGGCCTACAGCGGCCCCCTCCCCTCACGCGGTCAAGACCCCCCTTTCCCT